CGGTCAGCTCCATTCGGAGCATGTACATCAACAAATATTCGTACCACTCCCTACTCCCTACACTCCACATGTTCCCTACACACCAGCCACATCGGCCACACCGATTGCGCACCTCAGCGCTACGCAGGAAATTTACCCTCCACCATCTACCAATGAACTAAGCAATTCCTATGGACATACACAATTGGCCTATAAAATTCAGGCGCCACAGCCAATATTACCTACAACGTATGCGAAAGCAAGTCCAGCGCCCAGCATTTATGATAACTCAAAATCTGATAACAACTATTCAGAAGCCTTGCTGGACGCCAGCTATTCCGTGGACGACTTGACGCGTCTTTTGCAAATGGAAAACCTTAACAGGAATAGCGCCACCGCCTATTACCAACCAGCTGTTTACGGGCCTTCATATGCCTCTAATGCTGAAGTACCACTTTACACAATTCAACCAGCTTCTCCTTATCATTTGCCTCTGCCAGAACCTAAATACTCTTCCTCAGCGCCAACTTATGCAGAAGCAAATAAGAGCTATCCCGTGGTACCACCACAATATAAAAACCCTGCAGAGAGCAATCCGGCTACACCAAGTCCATCGACGGCGACTTCTTCGGCTACTCAGTATACGAATTACATTAATAAAGGTTACTCAAGTGGACCAACGCAATATGGATCCGCTGCTGAACCAAATAAGGACCAACAAAGCGCGCATTCTTTGACACATCAAGCGGTTTATAGCGACCCAAGTGTAGAGTACGAGAACTCAATACCTTACAACTCGCTAGCGTCTGCGTATGCCCCCCGTCCGCAACTCTATGGGATGTAGTAAATATTGGCTGACTTAAGTTTTACATAGCGAATTCAGTTTTTAGTTTCTAATTATTTGTGGAATTATTTATTTATTAGGTAGATATGTATTTACTTGTCTTGAAGAAAATAAAGTAGAACGGCTAAGATTATAACTATTTTTAATTTGAATTCGAGATCGTTGTGAAAAAGATCTTCAAACGTATGATCTTAAGTCCAGCTGGTGGCAGTATCTCTTATGGCAGGTTCTGCTCCAATAAGGTGCCGCTGGTTTCGTCTAGAAATATTCAGTCATAACGAGTATAAAAGAAAGTTTTGAATAAAAATAGCTCTTCTCCGCTTTGATCCGTTTTCCATGTCCTAATATCAAAAGAAATGCAGCATGGTTTGGCTACTGGAAAATCAATCAAATCATTCTACTCAATTTCATCTCAACTTCCGGTATGATATAAAATACTGATAGTCTAAGATCCGACAAGGGCACGGACCTTCACTCATCTGTTTAATGGATGAAATCAATTTTGTATGAAATTTAACGTGTTAATAAATATTTCGCGAGTGGGTTGGCTCAAAAAATTATAATTATTTTTTAATTTTGTACTCATTTGTTTAATGAACAAGTTATATACCAATCGAAAGTATTAATCCTATAGAATGTAGAAACGTTAGCATTTAAGATGATCAAGATTGCTCTAAAGATAACTTAAGTATTAACAGTTGAACTTTTTGAAGTTGCTAAACAAGCTAAATTTAATATTTCATATAGGTATCAAGGGAGAGCTGCTAATAAAGCTCTATTTCTGAAATATCTATTAAAAAAGTTGCCACCTGGTTAGAAATTTAAAGTCAATTTAATATTCCCGTTAATTTAAATATTTTAATATGGGTATGAAATGAGCGAGGTCTATTTGGAAAATATGTTTTAACATGTTGGTCACCTGTTTAGAAATTCAAAAGCACAAATTTAGTAATAGATTAATAAGTTCAATGAAATATTCTTTATATGCGTATCAGATGAGAGAAAGTTTCATTTTGAAAATACTTTTGAATTGAGAGGTATGTATGTAAATTTATAAAATATTTTTGAAGATCTTGCGGCCAGTTTAAAAGTTAAATGCGAGGGTGCCTTAAACAAGAGTTAAAAAAAGTTTTTCTTCAAAATATTTTTGAAGATGGTCGCTAACTGATTTAATTGTATGTTGCATATTTACACCAATTAGTTTGAACCCATTTCTAAAATTTATGAAATCAGTTGTTTCAGCATATATCAAAATTAAATCAAGTAAGAAAGTCTAAGTTCGGGCGGAGCCGAACATTAGATACCCGGCGCAAGTATTAAAAATATGTTTTTCACATTTCCAAAAGCTACCGCTACATGGCAAGCCGGGGTGTATCAATTTTGAGTAAATTAGCGTCCTTAAATTTCGAAATATTGAAGTTTCAAGCATTTCTGAAATATACAGTTATATGAAAAGCGGTCGTAATTTTAGCCCGATTTCAATTATTTTCAATGTTTTGCTTCTATGTGGCAAGCACAATATTCGTACCGAGTTTGGTACAAATTGGTAGAACGGTTACCGAGATACATATATGTGATCAAAAGTGGGCGGTGCCACGCCCATGTTCCAAAATTTTACCATAAACGTATTTCTTGGTAAAGAATTGTTGCAAGCATCAATTTTGAATAAAGTAGCTTTAATATTTACTGATTTATCGAAGATTTTGTATTTCTCTAAATTACCGTTATATGGGATGTGGGCGTGGTTATTGTCCGATTTTTTAAATTTTCGGCCATTTAGTATACTGTACCATGGCCAACAACTGTGCCAAGTTTGGAAGAAATTGGTGCAGCGGTTACCAAGATATACATATGTAACCATAAGTGGGCGTGGCTACGCCCGTTTTCCAAAAATTTATAATATTCTTATTTTCCGTCTAAAACTTATTGTAAATATCAATTTTGAGTGAATAATCCTCAGTAGTTACTTAAATATCGCAGTTTTCGTATTTCTGAAAATTACCACTATATGGGAGGTAGGCGTGGTTATTGGCCGATTTTGCCCATTTTCAATACCATCCGTCCTACGCCACAAAGAAGTGTACGTACCAAGTTTCGTTAAGATATCTCAATTTTTACTCGAGTTATCGTGTGCACAGACGGACGGACGGACGGACAGACAGCCACCGCTTAATCGATTTATCTTTTCATTCTGATCATTTATGTATACATTTGTCTATATCTATCTCGATTCGTTTTGCCTGTTACAAACAACCGTTATGTGAACAAAGTTATGTGCACAAGTGCGCTCGGGTATAAAAATGCACTGTCAAAATGGAAAGACATCAGATTCGGTTAAACCAACATCTAGGTTATACAACACCACCGATGGAGCTCGAGAATAAGATCTCCACTCGCATCCCTTCGAAGAAGGATTGGAAGGACAACTCGGTCTGGGGCCTCCAAGAACACTCCATAGAAATCTACACATGAATTTATATTCAGGATTTAATAGGCCGGAGCATCGGCCGATTCTTTGCCGATTAAATCCTAAATATAAAGTCATTTCAATTACAAATGCTTTTATAAACTTTTATGAAACCAAAAGAAAAACATAATCAAATAACTAAATAACATTACCTCATTCAAGAATCGGCCCAAAACGGCGGATGCCGGTTCTTTTGGCCGATACTAGACAGATTAGTCGGTCAGACTCTAATATGGGTACCAAAGGAAAGAGAAAATTTTGTAGAATTAAACAAGATACGATTTTTCGGTGCAAAAGGGCGAACGGGTATGGAAAATGTCCCTTAAAAATATTTTCCTTGAATATTCTTGAAAATTTGCAATATTTATTTTTGAAAAAAAATTTTGGAGACTGATATACACGCGACCACATCCTTGAATTTCGGCATGCTAACGTTATTAGCTTAAAAAAAAATAAAATTTATTAAAAGCGCATTTTCAATACCTATTCATAATTTTGATTTTATATTCTACAGTATCTTCTCTTTCCTTTGGTACACATATTGTTATTCTACACTGGCACTAATTTTTTTAAATAATTTTTTGAATTAATCATATCTTAAAAATTTCAAAAAAAAGTCCTTAAAAAGTTCTGACGTCAGACGGAAAAACTAAAAAACCAGTTTTACTATATTTGGCCCATAGTTTCGTGATTATATTGATTGTTTCGTGTTTTAAAATTTTTTTGTTTTTGTCGCACGGTGTTATGGGCTTCCCTTTGCCATATTTTTCGTCTATCGAGCAACCCACACTTTTTCACAATAATACTAGTATTTTTTGTTCATTATTATTTTAAACTTTATTACGGATTTTTTTTTTGCTTTTTAGTTTGATATGCTTTAAAAGCGTGTTTTTTAGTTTTTTTAAACTATATTTATTTTTAATTTTTTAGTTCGATTTATTTTTCACAATCGGTTCCGCGATTGAATAATGCTCGTACAGCATCGAAATGATTATTTTCTACTGCTAAAAGAAGTGGCGTATTGCCAAATTCATCTTTGCAATTAATATCAGTACCGCGGTCAAGCAGTGGAAGATAGCGTTACATCATTTATTTTCAGCCATAGACGGGATTAGAAATCATGTCTGGTCAGTTCGTTGTCTCGCGCCAACGACTTGCGCCTTAGCCCGCTTGGCCACCTGTGCAACTAACAGGGATAGAATGTATTAACACTAATAAGCCGAGTGCTCGAGTCGGAAAGTAAGTAGACGGTACGCATGCGCAGACAGCGTAGTTGTCTCACTTGCTCTCACACAGAGGCTGTGTGCGGAAATTATTTAATCCTGGTGATCCTAATCAGGATAATGAGATAAATTTATGAAATTATTATATTGTCGCTGATTCTTGATAAGTGTACAAAGTTTGAATTAAATCTGTACGTTTAAAGTGGGTCAAAATCGAGTCCAAAGGAGTCGGTTATAAACATACATACATACAAACATACAGGTGAAGCTAATAAAAGGGTGTTAAAAAGTGTCAGCTGTGGTTTTGTATTTATGAAAAAATTCATATATTTTTGCACATATGCGTATATTCGTTGCTATCGATGATAAATCAAACACCTTTTTTTACAAATGAATACATCTAACATACAAAAGTACAATATAATGTTATTAAATGGCACATAAGGGATTTATTTTTCACAATTCAATTAAAAACTAGTTGCGTAAATAAAACTTAACTTCTATTAAATGGATGACTTAAGAAAATATGTGTGTACATATGTATGTGTGAATATGAGTAAATGCATCTTGTTCCGAAATTCTCCTTGTTTTGTCGGGATTCTTACATTCTCATATATTTATGACTGTGTCGTATCGAGTATTCTATGGTTGACTTTCTTTTCATAATATATTATCTATGCACAAATGGACGTTCTAATGATGCAGCAATGTCGGTGTCAATAGCTTGGTAGCAATTAGCTTATGATGCACTTCAGGGACTGGAATTTTTATATTTGTAGGTTCACGTGAAACAACAGCTTCGAAGCCACTGTGATCATCTGCTTTGTAGTGGACGACGCGGTGATGACCATCGGGATCGATCAGCTCGTAAACACCTTCAACGCGATCATCTTTGCGTGCTTCTTTCTGCGATTTAATATCGCCAGTGTGTGGATCGTGTACGGCATAGTGGAACTCATAGGCGACTGGGCCATGCTCCTCATGAAGATCTCTGAGTTCAACCACGGCGTGCACGTGTAGAACGGCTATGGTGAGAATAAGCAACTAAGGGCGGAAATGTGTATGTTGTGTATCAGCAAGTAGCTGAGGTCAGCAAGTGGGTGTTAAATGCATCCAAATTATGTACATACCTTATTAATCATTTTCTCAGTTCTCTCGAAATGTACGATCTCCGTCCGTGAAGTGCGTGCGCTGCAAAGTGCAAACGAAGTTTGATTGTATATTGGTATCCTGCGCGCATATTTATACATCATCGGAGCAGTTGATCAGCGCGCTAGGTGCTAACAAGCTTAGTAGATATTCAGCTGCTAAAGCCTGCGTATCTCACATTTCGCAATTGCTTCTTCATCACTTTTCAATACTTTTTTATTGCGTGTGACTTTTCGTTGCATTACTTTTTCGACAGATCCAGTTAAGCTGTTGAGAGATCGATTTTCGATTGAGCACTTTAATTACTTGCAAATGTACGCCCAAATAAGTGAACGACTTTACCGTGCAGTGCAGCGGCAGAGAGATGTTGCAATACTGCTCCACTAAAAATTATCACTCAAACCAAAAAAAGAGAAAATAAAAAAAAATTCGAACTCAGTATGATTCTGTGGCGAAGCGCGCTAAATGATGTCAACTTGGCAGCGCGCGGTTTGCACAAGCTCGGCGTGGTGGTGCGCATGCGCATACGCATTATGCAAATGCAAATGCACCGCCAGCACATTTGCGCGGTGCGTGTTGCAAAATGCATGCTCTTACTGCTTACACAGATTGCGGGAATTACACTTGCACCGCACTTTGCAACCTGTTGCGTATATTTCCAAACAAGATGGATAGCATTTTGCAGCCATGCGCCTCAACGCCTATAGGTAGCAGTATTTAGTAGTACACCCTAGCAGGCGTCGAAGAATTGTTGCAGCTTTGTACTTTTTTTTTTTAATTCAATAATTAAATATGAAAAAATTTCTTAAGCTCTTTAAACTTTGGCAGGTGCCACTTATGCTGCTATGCAAATACATCAAATCTGCTGGTGTGGGTTTTAGTAAATTAGACACGTCCGACAAGCATTTTCAGCGGCATATACATAAATAACCGCAGTTTTAGATGGCTGTTGTTTGCAGTTTGCTTCAATTAGGAGGGTATCAAATCCGCTGAGGCTTAAGTCAAGCCGGTTATGAGTACGCCTCGTTGATCCTGAGCGCTAACTCGGCTAGCAATTCATGTAGTTGGCCTTGTAATTTATGCGTAATTTTCATATTAAGTTTAGTAATTAATTAAATAAAATCGCTTTGAAAAATTTTTTAATGGTTTCTGACACACAAAAGTCAAGGTGGTCAGAAAATATGGATTCTACTAAACTATACGTTTAGATGTAATATTTGGAAATTTACGTAAAAATTTAATTTGCCAAATCTTTTCTGAGTTGTGAATGGGCCATAGTTTTACGAATATATGGTGGGAAAAAATACTTCACCGATACCTTAAAAACGAAAATTGGAAAGAAAATTACTTACGGAGAACGAGAAGCGTTTTGTGCTTCTTCACAATATCTCAAAAGTCCCCACTGGATACGTGATGCGGGGTCAAAGGTCATCATCAACGGAAAATAGATGGTATTATAATTTTTAAATTTGGAAAATGCTCACACATTTTTTTATAATTGTTAAACAATTGTTTGTAGCAGAATAGGGGACACAGAAAGACATTTGGTGTCCCTAAGAGAGGCCCTGACTGCACAAGATATCATTGGTTGGTTTCCTTAATAGCTCCTAAAAGGGGTTGGTAAGCGAACTCCTAATTGTGAGGCTATATATCAGTGGTTTTTAACCGGTGGTTCGCGACACCACCAAAAAATCTAAAATACGATTAAAAATTCAAGCGCGGCATGCCTTGATATTGCAATGAAAACAGCTATAAAACTAGTAAACTTTATTAAAAGGAGTGCACTGATATTTTTAAACATTTGTGCACTATTATGAACTGTGAATAGGTTAGGTTAGGTTAGGTTTAGGTGGCTTTCCCCTATAAGGGTCTCACTTAGACCGTTAAAGTTGGTCCCTTGTGATACCACTGCGAACGGTAACTGCTACGTTAAAGCCAGAATCGCTTAGTGCCGAGAACGAAGTTTTCCAGGCGGCCAATCTTAATCCCGGAGAGCTCCTAATGTGAGAGAGTATGAACCCCCGGTCCACCATCATGGCGCATGCCCTGGTATTCCTCCAGCGTTTTCTGAGTTGACCCGAGGCCCGTCTTCCCAAGAGAAGTCCACAAGTAGTCAAGGGAACTTCCGCCGGGTGCCACCTCATCAAGGGTGCCGACTCTGGCCAGTTCATCAGCCGCTGCAAAATATGCAACGTCGAAACCCATGTATATATTATGCAAAAAAGCATAGCAAAATAAATGCGACCCTGTGCATCTCTCACAAAGAGAGAAATATAACAACAACCACATGGATTGAAAAGTCCAGAACTTGAACGACGAACTCCCCGTTGCGGGTGTAACTCGCTGAAATTGGAGGAAACAGCAGGGCTGTAAAAAATTGCAATCAAATTGGATTGCAATCGCATATTTTACGTAATATTGCAATCTGGTTTAATTGCAATTAACATTGATTGCTTAAATTTTGATTGCAAAAATTTAAATTTGCAATTATTGGGAAGAAATTGATTGCAATAAGTTTTTGATTGCAATTAATTTTTGATTGCAATCATTAATTGCATAAAAATTGCTAACAGCAATCTGTCTAAATGACATTTATTTTGATGAGTAATTGGAAGTACGATGGTGAGGTACACAAGCCCTCAGTGGGTTAACGCATCGCATTAGCAGCGCAAAGTGAACCCCCTTCTACATCAGAATTTGATTTAAGAACGCCCTATCTCAGAATTCGGTTCAGAAATGCCCTATCTCAACTGCCGATGCAAAAATGCCCTATCTCAGCACATTTTCAATGTATTTTCGTTTGAGATAGGTCGCTTTTGAACCGCTAATCGCAATGCAATTGAACATCTACGAATCGACGCTTTGGGATGTCGCGTGTGTGCAAGTCGATCACCCCCATCAAAGACCTATATTCTGTTCTCTTTCTAGGGAGATTATTTATAGGCATCGTTCAGTACGCTGAATCGAATGGCATGGGCCTAATAATGGGCTGGGGAAAGTATGGGTTGCTCCTTGAAACGAAAATACCAGATCTCCCAAAACTCAAAAATCTGAAATTAATTGGAGAATATCTGCTAAAAAGAATCAGATAGGGAAAAGCGGTTCTATATTGGGAACCTGGGCTTACCAAACTTCGTCAAAGGTCCAAGAGACTTCTGAATAGAACATAAAAAACCCCAAAAAATAAGAGGATTAATCCCAATATGAAAGGTAAGGTGCTAGACTACTGCTGTGATATTGACAACATGAAGGAGTCTGTCAGGCTGTGTAAGGTATGTCAACAGGATTCTCTCAAAAAATTTAATGCATATTATTCCACGTTGCTGCTGAAGACATACAGCACATCCGCAGGAATGTGAAAGTGGATAGTGTGGCGGGAAGAGCCATACAGCTAAACTGGTACATATGTAGCATCACGTTTGGGAATCGGTGATGTTTTCTTTAGCCTTTTTCGACAACGGGGCCCATATGATGTGTATCCGAGGATGTGAAATACAGGCTTATAAGAGTTGTTTATGCCTGCCTGGACTTTGGAGGAAAGTTATAGCAGTCTTCATTCCCAAACCGGGAAGTGCCGGAGCAGTGTAACCTGGCTTCTAGTCTTTCAACGTCTACATGTCTCCTTATAGTAAGTACTTATGTACATGTCAGAAGGAGCTTAGTTTAGGATATGTCTTCTTTTTATAATGAAAAAAGCAGAGACCCAGAATAAGAAATATGTCATGGTGGAGTTTTAAAAAAGTCATCAAAATTTTCGTAAGAATTATAAGTCTTTTTAAAAAATAATTATGTGTGAGAAATTTTTTTTAAGTCATCTTAAACTATTATTTTATGACTTATATAATAGAAGTATTTTCATAATATTTAATTATCAGCGAGATAAATATTTTTAAGTCTTCAAAGACTTTTATTTTGAGACTTATATTATAAAAGTCTTTTGATAATAATTATGAGTGCGAAAAAATTTTGTATATAGTCTGGAACGGGTTCCAAACCAAGCCCCAACTGGTCCCAAACTTATCCCCAACTTGTCCCAAACTGGTCCCCACCTAGCCCCGAACTGGTTTCGAACTAATCCTGAAATGCTCCTGAACAAGTCCCGTCTTTTAAGACTTAACAATTTTTTTCGCGCTCATAATTGTTATGAAAAGATTTTGATAATATAAGTCTTAAAATAAAAGTCTTTAAAAACTTAAAAATATTTATCTCAATGATAATTATTATGAAAAAGCTTTTATAATATAAGACTTAAAATAAAAGTCTTAGAAGATTTAAAAATACTAGTGTTCGGCCAGCGGTTGAAATTCAACCGATAAAATTAAGGATAGTTTATGTAAGTTGAATGAGCTAAAATAACATTAGTTGGAATGGGTTAAGTGGAGGGGAGTTTAGCTTAGTACTTGGCATAACATAACATAACCATAACATAAGAATAAATAACATAACATATGAAGCATAACACACCACAATATAACATCGCACACTCTTCAGTTGTATTTCCTTTTTATCCCTTTTTTCACCTCTATCTAAATCTTATTTATTTTGGTTCATTTTATGCCAAATGATGTTGCCTTTGATGCCACATCAAGTGATATCATGTCATGTGGTGAAATTGGGTGTGGTGAGCTGCGGTGTGGTGGGATTGGCTGTAGGAGTTACGGTGTGGTGGATTCAGGTGTGGTGAGTTAAGTTATGGTGAGAAAATTAAAGTGTGGTGAATTAAGCTGTGGTGAATTTTGGTGTGGTGAGTTGAGGTGAGTTAAGGTGTGGTGAGAAAGTTGAGGTGTGGTGAATTAAGGGTGGTGGATTTAGGTGTGGTGGATTTAGGTGCGGGGGTTAAGGTGTGGCGAGTTGAGGTGTGGTGAATTCAGGTGTGGAGAGTTAAAGTGTGGTGAATTAATATGTGGTGAGCTCAGGTGGAGTAAGTTTTTAAGTTAAGATGAGTTAAAGTTAAGGGG